CTTTCTTTCTTTTTTTAATCCGTGCTATGATTCTACTTTAGGTGGATCTTTGTTCTATGAGTTAAAATCCAGAGATTCGTCTCTGCTTGTTTTCGCATTCCTTATTTCATCTTTCTCTTGTAATTTGAGCATATTTTTAAACTTTTCTGTCAAGATCAGTTCTTTTCTGCTATTATGGTTAGTCTCTGTCCTCCCAATTCTGCATGATGCCTGGTGCTATACTGATAAGTGTCCCACATCGGAAAAAGAGAGGGATTTGGGACCAATATATAAGGAAGGGTCAAACCTTCACTTTTAAGCTAGCTTTTGTGGTGGAAAGGTTTGACCCTTCCTTATATATCATATACTCTTGCAAGATTGCATGATTTACAAATTCTTATTGCTCTGATGATCTGATCATCTTTTTGGTCTCATGAAAGAACATGTATCCTTGACCTGTCACCTTTGTGTTATAGAGTTGGTTGGATTTATCGTTCAGGTGCAATGTAATAGACTAGAATGCCTTCAATTAGCGATAATTTTGGGAGATGAGTAGCCGTTAATTTAGAATGTAATGTTTTTAGGGGCAGCCGATCATTGCAGCTCAAATCCGATGGCAAAGATTAAATATTTTATTGATTGGTTGGGTTTAGAGCTGAAGGTGGATGATATCCTGTGCAACCTAAGAGTTATTTATGCAGTGATCACTGTCTTGTATAACATCTTCTTGTGGTAAAACCGTAAAAAAAAATTTGAAGTTAACTAAGGGATGTATGGATCGTCGCTCCTGATTCTCTGTACTTGTTTCTGTTCCTGACAAGTGGTTGTTTACAGGTTGTGTTGAACTATATGGAGAAAACATATGGTGTTGGTTGTTGGAGCCAAGGTGAAAATGGAAACACTATACAAATTTCTACAAACCAGGTATCGAAAACATCATCTCTCCCGACCAGCTCGTTGGCCTCAGATACTGTGAGTTCTGATATAGCAGCTGTCGGAAGTTCTTTGTCTAGAAGTTTGTCAGAGGAAACTCTAGAATACGACAATGTGCTTGCGGAAATTGGGGCGCAAAACCTAACTAACCCGGTTGAGCATTTTCCTGCAAACAATCTTGTCAAGGCCATAGGTGACAGATCAATCTCAACAGTTGATCTGAAGCTCGAGTTGCAGCTTTACAAGGTTCGGTTCTTGCTTCTCACCAGAAACTTGAAACTAGCAAAGCGGGAGGTCAAACACGCAATGAACATTGCTCGGGGAAGGGATTCATCTGTGGCTCTCGTCTTGAAATCTCAGCTCGAATATGCGCGTGGGAATCATCGGAAAGCTATTAAGCTGTTGATGGCTTCCGGTATTCATACAGAAAGAGGGACATCAAGCATGTTCTACAACAACCTTGGTTGCATATATTATCAGCTCGGGAAATACCATACTTCTTCTGTGTTATTTTCCAAAGCTCTGAGCGTTTGTTCGTCACTTCTTAAGGACAAGCCTACAAAGTTATTCTCTTTGCCGCATGATAAATCTCTGTTGGTAACATATAACTGTGGTTTGCTTTATTTGGCGCGTGGAAAGCCTCTACTCGCTGCTCGGTGTTTTCAGAAGGCTAGTCTTGTTTTCTACAGACAACCTCTTTTGTGGCTTAGGATTGCTGAATGCTGTCTGATGGCATTACAGAAGGGACTTTTGGAAGAGGGCAATACATCTGCGGACAGATCGGAAATTAGGGTTCAAGTTATCGGGAAAGGGAAATGGCGACAGCTTCTGATGGAAGAAAACGGATATGTGGAAGTTCCTCCCACCAATCAATGGCCAAAGCTTTCGCTGCCACT